GGGAATTCTTATCAAAAGAGATGTGTGCGGATATGGAGGTGGACGAAAATTCCCAGAGAGGTGGTGTTCCCTGGGGGACATTCATTTACATGTGGGGCAGCGTCCCATCAACAGTTGTCTGGTGTTCCCTCCTCCCCTCTCTCTCGTTATTTCCCCGATAAAGTGACACATTGGGGAGTACAGACCATGAAACAGAAGAAGAAAAGACTCTGAAAATAGAGACCAGTGGACAAGCACAAATGTGCATGCGTGCATGTGTGTGTGCGTGTGTGTGTGTATGAGACTACATGGAAAGCAAGTTCTCAGACAGTGAGAGGGTGATGAAGAAGAGCAGGGTCCACCCGAGAGAAGGAAGAATTGCATGATTTCCCCACGTTTACAAACAACAGGTTTGAAGTCCAAGGAGACAGGTAGGAGGAAGAGCGCTATTGGAGCCTGAGCCCAAAGCTCAGACACTCGGAAGTCACTTATAATGAGGAACAGGCTCAGGGGGCTGTTGTGAAAAATCGAACAAGTTGAGAGATGAATTGGTGCTTTATAAACTGTAAAGTGCCTTTAAAGTCCAAAGTGCTACATAAACTGCAAAACACTCCACAGATGTAAGGGAGAATGATCACAATTATTTGAGGAGGAAAACATTATTCTGAATGTAGTCTGTGACCTGAGAATTAGATGGTAAGAAGGCTGTTTTAAACAAACAACAGAATTTGCCTGTTGAAATGTATCTTCTCTCTTTCAGAATCTTATTGATATAATCTTGATGGGGCTTGACATTTATTTCAAAGAGAAACTATTCAAAACCTACGAGACTCCTTCTCTGGGATTCATTTCCTTTGAAACCAGTTTACAAGCCACACACAAAAAAATGATCTCACTAATTTATAGTCACCTTGTGTTTTGAAACTTACATGTTATCTGGCTTAATCATGAGAGCTGAGTACAAAAGAATTTTGTGTTTTTTTAAAGTCAAAATTCAGTCTCTGAACAGTGATTCTTAATCATTTTTGGGATGTGTTGAGGACCTGCCAAAGTGCACAACGCATAGAACAGTTGGCGTGGGAATTTCTAGGTTCTGAGGCAAAGAACTCTGGATCTTCCAAGAGTTACGGAAGTTAAAGTCTGAGGGCTACAGTCGTGGCCGTTCAGTTGCTAGCTAAATCGTGTCCGACTTTTTGAGACACCGTGGACTGCAGCACGCCAGGCTCCCCCGTCCTTCACTGTCTCCTGGAGTTTGCTCAGACTCGTGTCCATTGAGTCAGGAAGGCTCTCTGAGGGTTACAGATCTGAGGGCAATTATTTTCTGAGCATAAGCAGCAGGTTTGTTGGAACAAATGTTCAGCCTCCCCAAAGGAGCTGGTTGAGGGAAACCACACCACTGTAGGGAGGATCATATGGTATGAGTGTCTAAAAATTAGTCCAAAAAACCACAAACAAACAAATTAGTCCATTAGAGTCATAGGGGGTCTATGCAGTCATTTCTGTAGCTGCAGTGGTTTCTGGCTTGTGTGTGTGTTTGTGTTCGTTACTAGTGGGATGTTTAGGCGGCAGCTTTTGCCTCCCCAGGTGTCTACCCTCAACTCAATTTCACCAACTCAACCTGGAAGAGCCACAGCCCTAGGAAAAGGCGTCGGATGGGCTGACAGTGCTCTTGAGGTCCAACTGGTTACAGGAGAGGAAGAAAGGCATGGCTGGCGTTTGTGTAGCTGTTCTCAAGGGAGTCCTGGCTGAAGCGGGGGGAGGTTGGAGCTTACGCTGCTCTTCTCTGTGAGATGGAGTGGATATCTTATGATTCTCTCACATGCTGACCAGTGACAGAAACAGACTTTAGGTGAACTCCCTCATTTAACTCTTAACCTCCTCAGAAAGATAGTATTATTCTCATAGATCAGGAACCCAAGGCATGGAAAAGCTGACAAAAGTCAATTAGCTAACAACTAGCCAAGCAAGGATTTAAACTCAGATGTAAATTGAGAACTCCTTCCACTGCCCAACACTGGCTCTTCCATTTCTTCCCAGCCCCTGGGAAATGCTCCCGGGGGAGCTCCACCCTCGCTAGACGCCCCCGGACGTGAAAGAGACTCACTTATCTCACCAAGGACAGTGTGTGTCCCGAGCGGCCGGCCCATCGGACATCTGGGACTCAGCCTCATTTGCTTCTATTACTAACTTCCTTCCTGACCTCGGTAAGCTCCGTAAATTGTCTTGTGTTTTCTCATCTGTAAAATGAAGAGGATAGACCTAGATGAGACTTCCCGCTGAAACACTCAGAGCCTGAATTCTGTGCGCTGCCCCTGTTCCCAGCGGCCTCCCAGCCCTGTGGGTTGCTCACGGCTCCCCGAGTGCCACCTCCTCTGACCGCCTGGCTAGGAGGAAGCGCCCCTCCAACCACATGTATGGCGGTTGTCCGAGTTACACTCCCTTGGCTCATCTTTTCCACTTCCCTTCCATATTTTATCTGAATTCCTCAAACCTTTTTTGCCTATCTCCTATATAGTTCTCCAGTGTAAGAATAAACCAATTTATGTTTTAATTCCTTCACAGCAGGCAGACGGTTGTTTCCATTTTTTCACTAACAGTGCTGACATTAATATTCTTTAGCTTGCCTCCTTTGACTACATGTGCAAGAGATTCTCTAGAATGAATGTCCAGAAATGGCATTGCTGAGCCAGGGGGTTTATGGATTAGGTATTGCCAAATGGTTCCTCAAAGTGCTGGTGCCAACATATGTTCCCGCTTGCAATATGCTTGTTTCTCAGATCCTCACCAATGCTCTCAAGCTCAAGAGTCTTCCAAACTAACATTCTGACTGCCTTAGCCTCATGGCACTTACTGTTCTCCACTTTATATTTGTTTATATGCTACCTCCCTTCCTGGGATATAACTTTTGTGAGGGCAGAAGCCTTGCTTAACTCAAAGAATTCATTGAGCTTAGTAAGGACACAATAAAGGGTTGTGAACAAATAAATGGTGAACAGAACCAAATTTGTCTTGACCCAAGGAGGTGGAGATTCCATGAGGGGAGGGATGAAGCATCTATCGCTGTTCATCTGGGGTGAGGATGTGGGTAGGGAATCCCCATCAGCTGCGGTGAAGGTGGCTCAGTGGTCAGAGCTGGCTGACAAACCAAAGGTTTCAACATCTATGGAGGACTGTCTCCAACCTTTGGAGATGCAAGCTGTAGATAATTTTTTATCATGGTATTCACTAAATATTTACTGATTGCTGAGAGTAGCAAATTTCCCATTCTCTGGGTTTATCTTTTTATACATCAAGATTGCTGTTTCTGAATGGAACTCCCCCACCTTTGGCCCCACCCCGTTACCAAGGGCTGGATAGGATCCATGTGTCCTTTGGACTAGGAAGCTGTGTGACCTCTGGTAAATGCCTCCCCCTTCTGACACCCCAGCAGTTCCAGGCTGACTCATTTTCTAAATAAGCCACTTGTGGCTTTTGCTCTGACATCACATGTGGAAGAATGAGTAATTTTTTAAGAACCAGAGTTATATTTGATCAGAATAAGATGCATTGTGTATGTTACTCATGGTTCCAGGACAAGGGGTCAACACTGGTAACAAGTACCCTAACCTTCTCCCACCCCTCCTTTCCCTGGGGCCAAGGGACAGACGGAAGGCAAAGGAAGGAGGCAGGTATGGAGGTGAAGAATTTTTGTGTACACTTCTAATTTTGTTATCACATTATGTACAGTTCAATAAAACTGTACCTCGCGGCTTCTGCTAGATTAAATAAAAATAATGTCACAAAGTACGCAAGGCCATGGGGCTCTGCTCCTTGGGTTCAAAGCCCAGCTGGGTGACGTTGGGCAAGTTATTGACTCTTGATTTGCTTCTATTTCCTCATCTGTAAAACAATAATAGCATCTATCACCTTGCATGGAACAAATGAATTGATATATGTTGAGTGCTTAGGATTGTGCCCAGAACTTAGCAGTCACTGTGGATATATTAGTAAATATTTCCTTGAATCCATCACAGTGTTTAGGCTCAAAAGAAATGCTCAATAAATACTTTTAAATGAAACAAATTCATTGTATTAAAACACATTTGGAACAGGGGATGGGGATAGAAGTGACAGCAAGTAGGAGACTCTTGGTTGGAAATGGAAGCAACCATGAAGTTCAATTCCCTTGAGCTCAGGTCTTGCCTTCCCACCCTCCTTTGGTTTGTTTTGTTTGCTATCTGCACCCGGGTTATGTGCACTGCGGTGGGAGAAGGGCTGTCCCCCAGGTGTCACTGAGTGGAGGTTCTACGTGCTGTTTTTTAAATGTAAGAAGTCAGCAGAAGGACGTCAAGGTTAAGATTCTGAACTTCCTCTGCAGGGGGTGCAGGTTCAATCCCTGGTCAAGGAACTAAGATCCCACGTGTAGTGTGGCACAACCAAAAAAAAAATTTTTTTTTAATTAAATACACAAATGTGCATGTTAGTAGATCAGCTGTGACCCCATGGACTATAGCCCACCAGGCTCCTCTGTCCCCATGGGATTTCCCAGGCAAGAACACTGGAGTAAGGAGCCATTCCCATCTCCAGGGGATCTTCCCCACACAGGGATCAAACCCAGGTCTCCTGCATTGCAGACAGATTCTTTACTGTCTGAGTCGCCAGGGAAGCCCCGGTAAACAAACAGATTTTTAAAAAAGAAAGAAGAAGAGGCACAGTTCTAGATCCTTGAACCCTGGGAGCCTGGGCTTAGTTCGGAGGGAGACCCAGGCACCAGACGACTTCATCCTTGGACCTCTCAGCACCTACTGTTTAGAGAAGGCGCTGAGAAGTTAGCAAGGCCGCAGCGTCAGGACGGGTGTTATCTGGTTGAGTGGTTGGTGGGGTGAGCATTGTGTACAGGACATTATTTAGGTAAGTTGTTGGGATCAGGGCAGACACAGTGTGCATCCTCACAGCACTTGTGGTCGGGGGAGCACACTCCTGAGCACCCAAGAGTCATGAGGAAGCCAGACCAAAATCCCTCTAGCGCAGACTTCTTCAGGATGCTGGGGGCTGGAGGACCCCATTCACCAGAGCGGGTCTGTTCTGCCTCATCGGCACCTCCGTGTGGGCTGGAGCTGAGGAAACGGATGGACCTGACAAGTGGCTCGGACTGGCCGCTACAGAAGCAAGGGGCCAAGTTTATTGTGACAGGAAGGGCCTACGTTCCGTACCACTGGTGGGACGGCCGAGTTATTGGAGGCGGCCCAGCCGTCCTGGAGGACGAGGTTCGCCCTGGCCGATGTAAGGAAGTGCGTCCGAGGGAGCGTCTGAGGCAGTCATGTCCTCAACCACGTGCAGAGACAGTCACATACGCACTGACAGCTTCACCCTTTCTCTGCCCTCCACTCATGCACACTCGCGCGCGGGCCTCACCAACGCTGTCTCGGTCAACAGGGCGGCCTAGGGAAGACCTCAGGGCTGAATCAAATGCTGGTGAATACTGCTGCTTTTATTATACCTCAAGGCTTAACATTTATTTGGAGAGGACACAAAACTTGGCGAACTGGCATGCATTCTCTACAGCACGGCTTCAGAGGAGCTCAAGGCCACCCCGGTCCGCCCGGGAGGACCCTGCCGGAGGGGGCGGCGATGGCGGGGGCGAGGGGGGACCGCAGGTCCTTCATCACTGGAGTCAGCAGACCACAGGTGCTCCACCACCACAGAAGTCGAAGAACCACGTGTGTTGGCCAGGGGTGTTTCCAACAGCTAAATAGGTGTGACAAGGGATCCAGGTGTGGGTGAGTTCCTAACACGTACAGCCTAGAACATTTTGGGGAGGGTAAGAATATTCTCCTCCCCAAGTGGGCAGCACTGACTACGTGGGAGAGGGGCATGCTTAGCACTGCATCTGAGCTTGGTGAAGGGCACCCTGGTTTCACAAGGGAGAGTAAGACATGGCGGCGCTATCACAGTAAGGCCACTAAAGTCACAGCGAACGGGGACCTCAGAGGAAACTCTCACGACTACGGGAAAGGGGCTCGACCCTCTCTGACGCCAGGTGCCCGTTGCTGGTTGGGCACCTTGCCCTGAGACCTTCACCTGGTTCCTTTGCTGAGCTGTACCGCGTCACTGAGCACAACGGAGTGGAGGAGGGGGCCACGCACGTCAAGGTCACGGGACATCACCACCCCGCGTGGCTGACGGCTGCTGGCGAGTGTCTTGGACGCCTTTCCCGGTTGGGCCGGGGGCCCCCTGTGTGTCTGCAGACCTAATCTGAAAAGAGGCTGGCAAAGGACTTCCTCAAGCTCCGGATGGTCTCTGCTTTGGCTTCATCCTCACTGGCTGAAGAGCGGAAGAAGGAGGACTCAGAGAAGCTGAAGGCATTGGTCAGGGACTGCGACTTGCTTGAAGAAGATAAAAACCAGAGAGAATGTGAGATGGTGCTGTTCCAGGCGAGGAAGGGAGGGACGGTGACACGGGGACATGACACCTGGAGCGCGTGCTCCCGCCCCAGGGAGACCGGGTGTCAGAGGAGAGAGCCAGCGTGGGGAGGGCTCCCAGCGCTGGGCGGTCCCCACCTCCTCTTCCCCTGCAGCGCTGCTGGAGCAGGAAAGGACGGGGCCTCGGGGGAGGCAGGGAGAAGAGGGGGGCTCGAGGCCCTTTCTTCTCCTTAACACTGAAGCACCAACTGGGTGGGCACCAACCCAGGAACCTCACGCCCTCGCCCTCTCTCGGATGAAAGGCAGGAACGGGGGCCAGGGGACTCCCTCTCCCACCGCCACCAAGAGGGAGTGCAGCCGGTGTCGGAAGACCTGGTCAGAGTCGTGGTTCCAGCCCTCACCCACTCTTGACCTTGGGAAGCTACGTGCCTCTCCTGCTTTCTTAATTGTGTTCTGTTGATGTCTGGTAATATTTATCTCTGGGCCTTTTCAGCTCTTTCTACTTTGCTTTTCTTTCTCTGATTCCTAAAGGACCTCTGGACTTCGCACAAACTCTATCGGCTCTATGGACCGCCCTTCCAGTGGACATAATGGCCCTCATAGGCTTCCTCGGGGGAGAGCTGTGAGGTTCAGGGTGTCCAGGGGCCACAGAACTAGATATCCGGCCCACACGAGGTTACTGGATAGTTTTCTCAGGGAAAAAAAAGCCCAAATTGCACACATTTTAGGGACCAATTTTCCCCCGAGACACTAGTGATTCAGAAAGAAAGGCTGTGAAGGCCACGCCCAGCACTTAGGAGGGGACACATGGTCTGGTGTCCCCGTGGCCATCTGCTCTCCTTCCTGACTTCAGCTTGTCTCTTTCCTGCTCACCTCTGCCTCCAGAACTCCTCTCCCGGCGTCTCGGCGCTCCCAGCCCTCCCCCGAACTCGGGTGCTGCCCCAGAAACCCCCTTCTACGCAAGTGTGAGCCCATCTCTTCTCCCGTGGTGACTGGACGGGTGCCCTGCCTCTCACTGGGCGGGGATGAGCCCCAACATGCCAGCCGCTGGCAGCAGAGACTCCTCTGCACGCACGGGCCGAGGGCACCGGGACCAGCCTCCCACTTGTCTGGCTCAGCCCAGGGGCAGTGACAAACCCAGAGGTCTGCCCTCAGACAGGGGCCGGAGTCAGCTCAGGAGGAGGAGGGAGAGATTGAAAAGCCCACAAACAGAACACGACTAGGTTGAAGGGAGGCTGTGAGGCAGGCGAGACGTGGAAAGTGCCCGTGTCCAGGGCTGGGGAGCTGGACTGGGGAATGGCCCGCCCATCGTACAGGGCTGAAAGACTCAGAGGGAGCAGTCATCGACCACCAGAGCCCTCACCCGGCTCTGTCACTGATGAGCAGAAGGGCCTCAACAAAGAAACGCAGAGCTCTGAGCAGGGTTTTCCCGTCTCCGTGCTGACTAGACTGTCTCTGAGTAGCTCATCGGAGCCCCAGACTCTGCAGCCCCTATCCTCCATCCCCGAGAGTCTCATCTCTTTACTGAGATGCACTCACGGACCGCCTCCACTCCCCGGGGCGGTGGGGTCTGAGCTTACAGTGATGACAGAGATCTGCGTCTGGGCTGTTGGAGAGACACACCCTGGGTCTAGGGCAGGTGGGGCTGAGCCCTCTGGTGCTCCCCTTCCCATATGCAGCTGCACTGCCTCCCAGGGGCCCCGGGCTCTGTCTTCTGAGGCCGGACAGTGCGGTGGAAGTCTCTGGGGGCACTGCTGGGAGCGAGGGAGCCCAAGAGGGCGCAGCCCCTCAAGGTCTGTGCCTAGGCCTCTCCTTTGATGGCCGTGCCAGAGACCAACCTCCTTCTGACCGGCTGAAGGTGAAAAGCTGAGATGGATCTAACTACTTCCCCCTTTCCTTCTGGGCACCTTGCTGCTTGACATTCCCTGAACTGTGAGTCAGAGGCAGAAAAGGGAACTTTTTTTTTAAGAAGAGAGAGAGACACACACACACAGAGAAAAGGAATGGAAAAAAAGAGTGGGAAAGAGGATTAAAAAAAACAACCAACCCAAAATGCAAACCCTAAGTTAGTACAAGAATGGGAGAGGGGTAGTAACTGACTTAATTGTCTGTCACTCCCCAGGAAGAAAGGGGAGGGTTTGGGTTTCTAGCTAGACCTTAGACTTTCACTTCCCTCTTTCTTACCCTCCCCAGCCAACCCGACCATGCCCCCCGCCAAAAAAACAAAACAAAACAAAAAAACAAAACAAAACAAAAAACCCCACCGAAACCCAAACCCCCAAAACCCCCACAAAAGTGTCTGTGGGAGGAGGTCTGACTGAAGGTGCTTCCGAGCAGCTCTGGAGCCCCGGGAAGAGGGGAGGCGGGGAGCGGCTGAGCTGTCTCTTACTTGAGCTGTGGGTGAGGCTGGGGCTTCTGCGGTGGAGCGGCCGGGGGTGGCTGGGCCTCTGCCAGGGAGCTGCTGCTGGAGGGTGCATCTCCGTGGGTGGTGGGGCCGCCCGGCCGCCGAGGAGCCGAGGAGGAAGAGGAGGAGGAAGAGGAGCAAGAGGAAGGTGGCACTGATGGTCCCGGGGGGAGCCGGCGTGGAGGCAGCACCTTGCCTGGGGGTTGCATTCCTTGGGGTTGCCCAGGGCCCCCTAGGTTCAGTACAAGAAAAACTTCATAATTTAACCATATCAAAGGGTTTCCTTATTAGAATTTACATCTCGAAGGGTGTGGTTATTTCATTACCAGAGGATAGACTCTGTCACAAGAAGCAAGTCCCTGGTTACCCCAAGGATACGGCTCTACACGCGCCTCCTCAGACTCAGGACAACGTGGGCACAGCGGAAGTGGGAGCACAGGGCAGAAAGCAGGGGGCGAGCGGCCCCTTCGGGGGTGAGCTCTGCTACAGAACGCCCCCAGACCACACACTGGGACCACCCCTCTCCCCCAGAGCTCCCTCAGGTGCAGGCCAACCTGGCCCATGGGGCACCAGGAGGGCCATGTCCCACACGGCACACAGCGTGGAAAGAGTGGTGGAAAGAGTCCTGGCCTGGGAGTCAGAAAACCCCGGACACTGTCTATCAGCGGGCCCCTGAGCAAGCCAGCTGACTTCTCTGGACTTCAGTGTTTCCAACCAGAAAACTGCGAACAATTAAGGCCCAGTCTTACTTATCTTTCAAGAGGGTAGTGTATCAAAGATGACAATGGACAAGAACGTTCTTCAGAAAGTGTTCTGTGCTTTACAACCATCACTGACTTACACTGTGTCTTTTTAGAGTTGGCCTTAGTCCCAACCCACTGCATGCCTGGGTGCCTGGTTGCCACACCCCCAAACAGGGCTTTGTTTTAGCGTTAACTCACACCCATGACTAGGACCTTCCATGTCTAGGCAATTCTTCTGCCTCTTAGTACCATCCTTAGGGGTTCCTGTCCCTCCCAGGTGTTATGTGGTGAAATTCTCCAAAAATCAAGTCCCATTCTCTCCTGGAGATGTTGTGGGCACCATTTGGCAAAGAAGTGCCCCCCCCCGCCCCCCCCAGAAAAGGACCAAGATCCCCTTTCTCCCAGAATGAGACAGAAAACAGTCTGGCAACCTGGAGATCTCATTTCTTAGTCTCAGTCCCAGAGTACCTGTTCATGTGCCTGCTGGAAGGAGTGAGCTTACAGAAACTCAATGGATGGCTAAGACTTGTAACTTAGTTTTCTAGAAACACAGGGACACCTGCGGCCTCAGGAGAGGCAGAACCATACATCTATACCACTGTACATCCATGATTGTAAGCTGGTTTCCCCTCTACATGGTACGGATTCCACTTTATCATCAATGACCAATTCATACCAGGGTTGGTTACACATATATAAACTACTGTAAATAAATAAATGGAATTTTGCACATTGAAGAAGCTCTAGGTTCAAATCAGGTAACTAGTAAAGATGACAGATTAGCAGATCATTGCATGTGAACCCGTTTACGCCTTTTCCAAAGCTTGGCATTGTTTGTATCAGCATTTTCTTGTCAAGTACCACAGGTTGAGAGCTCAGTCTCTTGGACCAGACACCTGAGAGCTTTCCCGCCTGTACAAAGATGCTTGAACAGCCAGAAACTACAACTTAACACTGAAGACAGATAAAACTTTTCCTTTATTGCACATTAAGCTGTACAAGAGTCACAAAAGAGAGGTACTTCAATCACACTTGCAGCGCCAGATGAGGCTCTCCCAGCTGGATCGGTACAAAGGGGGGACAGCATCCAGCAAAGAAATGGGTGCAAAACACCTGAACGGCACTCTGTCACTGTGGTACGGATGCCTCAGGCCACAGAGTTGTCCTTAGCATGCTGCCCGAGGGCGCAGGACAGTCAGGGCGTACAGTCAGCTCTGTCTGACAGCGGGAGGGAGCCCTAGTTCTCCTCTCTCCCACCTGACAAGACTGTGGCCAACACTGCCCTGCAGTCCGACTGAATTCAAACGGCAACTTTGTGTTTGTGGCTCACGAATGTCACATGAAAAGCACCTGGATGTTCACACTGATCACATGCAAAGAAGCAACACCATCATCAGCTCACTGCTTGGACAAAAACAAAATTAAAAAAATAAAATGTATTCCTCCGTTCTGGGAAAATGTCTCTTTACTCCTTTCTATCATTTCGTCAGATTGGGAGGTATTTTAAGGACCTGATTCTCTAGGCAACCCGCCTGGGCGTGCAGAACTGCATATAATACACGTGTCTATTTACAGCACACACTACTGTCAGCATCCACATCAGCTCAGGGCAGAATCGCAGCCGAGAACATTCACACTCAGTGCATTTCCTTGCAGCTCAGACTCTGCCCGCAGCCAAGACAGGAAGCAGGGCTCGAAGCCCTGGACGCAGGAATCATGTTACACACCACCGTCACCAGCGAGTCCTCAGGCCTGGCTATCCAGAAAGGTGACGTGTCGTGACAGCAGTGGGGGGTGGGGGGGGGATGCGAAAGCAGAGCTCAAAGCACTTCTAAAACGTGAAACCCTTACGGCCCTAGAGGGGGCCGCTTGGTGCCTCATCCCGGCCTGGCCAGGAGACGGCAAGAGGGGGCACTGACCCGAGGCCTTGTGAGGGAACTGCCTCCTCCCTGCCCAGGAGGTGCGTGTTGGAGGAGAGAGGACGAGATGGCGGAGGGCTCTCCTAGAGCCCCAGCCCCATACACACATGGGCTAAAATCTGAGACAGTCAGTTTCTGGACTCAGGAGGGCTCCTGCAACAGCTGAAAACTAAAGCAGGCGCCCACCTCAGAGTTCACGGGGCAGTGTACCCGCTCGTGGGAAACAGGACAGTTCCGATTCGCTCCCATGTTGCCATGCCTTGAGAGAGGCCAAAGGCAGTGCAATCGAGTCCTTCCCAGACTTACAGCAGCTCCCAAATCGCTAAGCAATCACCTCTGTACACGGGTCAAGCTTTGGGGAAAACGAAGCAGCCTCGGTTCCACAGAAGCGCACAGATGGCCAATTCAGAAACAATTTGGGGGGACTGAGATGAACACAGAAAAAATACTCACAAAGTCATTTTGATATTGCACATCAGCGGCCCCGTTTGTTTTTTGTCTAATCTCATAGCTAATTAGTTAATAATAAAACGAAAGGTACACTGGGATGTCGAATACAGAACACATTCCTGGAGATAAGCTTGTTCTTTATAGTTTATGTCATCACTAGAAAACACAAGAGCTCCACGGATACGGCCAGTCTATTCACAGAAACTCAAATGCACCAAAGTTTAGCAAATGGAGAAAAAGAGAGACGCCTTCGGATTCAACGGATGAAGCGATGGGAATGAGACCTTGGAAATCTCTTAAACTTCTAGCTATTTACCCGAGTCATGCAGAAAGAAAGCAAAAAGCACTGCAGATCCCAAGCTCACTCATGGAGGTAAGCAGGGGGTAGGGCGAGGGGGGCGGTTTATCTGAGTCTGGGGGGAGAAGGAGGGGAGTCAGGTTTGATCTTGTGGTCTCTGTTTCTCCCCTGTCCACCCCACCCCACCCCCAGTCCTACTGCGCCCCTCACTGTGCAATACTTAAAAAAGAAAATACCATCAAACCACTCAGAGGATAGTCGCACTGAACTTGGGAGAGGCACAATTCTTTTGTACACTGTTGACAAACAGCCCTGGATTCACAAATTATACAGAGAAACGTTAAGTGAGCGTTACAAGCACGAACAGGTAAACAACCAGACAGAGGCGCTGACACTGCATAGGAAGAACAGAGTCCAGTCAGCATTGAAAGAACGCAGAAACGGCACCAGTGGGAGGGTCTGCTGCGTCCCTCCCCGCTTTCCTTTCTTTCCTTGTTTGTTTTTGGCTTAAAATGTCTGCTTTGAAAAAAATTAACTACCCATCGCTTTAAGAAGCTTGGACCTGTTTGGGCCCTACTGCAATGCCATTACAGTCGAGAATATACTGTAAACAACCTTGGGGGGCTGGCCGCTGAGGCGGGGTCTTGCTCGAGTCCGGATCCTTAAGTGCTCCACTCTGGAAGACAAAAATGCAAAAGAGATAAAAAACAAAACTCCAGGCAGATTCCCAAGAGAAACCCCGTGGCTCTGTGGCGGGGCTGCAGTGGGATCCACTGGGATCTGGCCCAAGGGCTTCAGCTGTTCTGCAAACACCTCAAGGGGGTTCTCAGCCTCTGGGGTATTGCTGGGACCTAAGAGAAGGCAATCTGGGGCTGAGAACCACTCTGGCAGGCAGTGTCTGAGACCCTTACCCCCTTTTCCTTTCCCTTCCTTCTAGACCCTTTCTAGAAACTTCCAAGAGCATCTGGCTTCTTCTCTGGGGGCTGCCTGAGGGCCAGCTACCCTGGGACTCACAGGCCGACTTCTAGGGGAAGGATCAGCCCTAGCGCCAGCGGGGGCTGGGCCAGGTGACAGGCTTAAGCCTTGGCGCTAACTCCTGCAGAGTTGGCTGACTCAGGGGTCAGAGCCACTCTCTGGGCTGGGCTGGAACTCCCGCGGGGAGGGACCTGAAGGAGGGGGGCCATCTTTTGTTTCCCAGGACCCTCCTTACCCAGAGGGAAGGAGTAAGACCTTAATGTTTGTAAAAGTGCTCAAGGCCAAGCTGTTTTTCCCTCTCTAACAGCATAATTGCATTTTATCCAGCACCATGGCTCCACTCCCAGGCTTCCTCTCCTCCCAGCTGTGATTCTGATTATGCCCCGACAGGAGCAGAGACGCCTGTGACTTCAGTTCATCTACCCTTTGCACTGAAGGCAGGGAGCATGTGGAGCCTGAATTCAGCTCAGGGGAGATGCTCCACGAGGCGGGGGCTGCCAAGTGTGCGGACGGTGATGTCACAGCAGGAGCTTCGGAGGCGAGGTCGGGAGAGGCCCTGCAAGTCCTCAGCACCCCTACTTCCTCTTTCAGTGCTGCTCTCCCTTGTGACAGGCCCCCCCCCCCAGCCCTACTCCCACATTAAAACTGTTCCCCATTCCCATGGGCCCCTGATCTGGCTTTCTATCTGCCTTCCATCTGCCTTCCTGCTGCTGCAGGCCTGTTTTCAGCTCCACTACTGGGAGAGCAAAAGGGCTACTCTTGCCAGGGTCATGGTCTTTCAATGACAGCGTTGCCTACAGCTGTTCTACCAAGAGGATTTCAGGCAGGAGAAGGCAGGGGGGGAAATGTCTTTGGTGCCACTGCACCAGAGGGTGCCCATTCTGTCCACAATCCTGACCTCTTACAGATCACAGCAAGAACGCCCACACTTCCCTTCCCCTTCTTGCATGGGACCTTCTAGGGGGGGTCTCACCCCTGACCCTGAAATCCCGAAGCCACTTGAGGCCACACCTTCCAGTCAGCCATCAAGACCCACCAGGCTCTCTGTCTTGGCATCCAAGATTCACTATTTCCTCCTGACCAACTCTGGTCAGGCCTGTATCATTTCTTGTTTAGACTACTAGAATAGTCTCTCAATTCTTTAGTCTCCTTTCCAATCCATCTTCTGGATACCTATTACCCTCCTAAACTCTTTCTCTAATTGTATCACTTTACTGCTCTAAATGGGCTTCCCTTGTGGCTCAGATGATAAAGAATCCTCCTGCAATGCAGAAGACCTGGGTTCTATCCCCGGGTCAGGAAGATCCCCTAGAAGAAGAAATGGCTACCCACTCCGGTATTCTCGCCTGGAGAACTCCCTGGACAGAGGAGCCCGGCGGGCTACAGTCCACAGGGTCGCAAAGAGTCAGACACAACTGAGTAAGTAACATTTTCACTGCTCTAAATAATTTACAGCTAACACTATACACGTGCCAGGCAACACGATGGACGATTTTATGCAGTATTTCCCTTAAGCCTCACAGCAGCTCTCTGAGGTATCAACATCCCTAATTTTTAGATAAGGAAGCTGAAGCCCAGCTAAGTCAGGTAATACAGAGGCAGCTGGCACGCGAGCCCAGGCAGTCTAACCTCCTCTTCCCGTCACCCACAGGATGACGTCTGCATTCTTCAGGATGATGCCAGAAACTTGCTTTAGCATGGCTGGACAGGCCCCCTGGGCCTCTGTCCCTCATGTTCTAAACGTGCCTGCTCCTTCCAGCCTGACCCTTCACTGGTTGTTCTCTAGTCTAGGCCACTCTAGCTTTTATGATAAGTACCTTCCAGAAATACCTTCTCTCCTTTTCAACCAATCCAATCCCACACATCCTGAAGGTCTGAGTCAAATTATACCTCATTTGTGATATCTCTCTTCTGATTGCCCCTTTTGATTGTGGTCTCCCCTCTGAAATCCTATAACAGCACTTAATAGACTGTCTTGTTATCATCTTGAAGACTGGGATGATGTTTCTATCGCCAGATCTTTGACAGCAAGGACAGTGAGTCTTCACCTTCTCATGAATTCCTAACAATTACAGTGCCCATTTTTTCCAAAGAAAAACTGGGATATATGGCCTGATGTGGTAACTATTTATTTAAAAGGTAAAATAGTTAAGATTGGGACTATTTTGGAAATGAAGACTGCCGTCATTCTACCAATGTCACCAGGCACAGGACTGAGCACATAAGAGGTCCTTACTGACTGCTTATTAGATAAACAGCCACGCGGCAACAGTAAAGTCCAAAATGAAGTAGGGTGTGAGTCTTTCAAGAGAAAGACGTCATTAAACCATAGATGTCAAACCACCCCATATCTGGGACCAACTTGGATGAACAGCTCTGAAAATGCTCAGGTTAGAGAATTAGAAAATGAGGCCTCCAACCTGGGCCTGCCCGCTCGGTGCATAAGGGAAATTCAAAACCATCCTCACAGAAGCAGAAATGGTTTCCATCAAGACTGTATAATCCAGTCAAGTTAGTGACACTTCAGGCTCCAGAGTTCTTTCCCATCGTGAGCTCTTCCCTCCCCTGGCCTGGCTGCCAACTGGAAGAGGAGACTATAGGATGGTGTGTGGTAATGGACACACAGGACACCAGGGCTGCTTTTTTAGCCGAGTGGCCTATCAACTCTGCTGCCCAACACACACACGTACACATGTACACACACACACACACACTCCATTGGGTCTCCGACAGTTAGTCTTTAAGACTGGGCAGCAGAGTGGAATTTGGGCCTGGGGGTTAGGAAGATGGGTTTAAATCTAAATTTCCCACTTACTAGCTTTGTGACCTTGGGCAAATTATTTTCCCCCTCTGCACCTATCTTTCTTCAAATGGTTTCCATGATATAAAGGGATATTATCCACCTATCTATCTACTACCTATACATCTATCTATTGAGATATCTACAAGTACCTGTCCCTGGCAGGTCCTATATAAGACACTACAGATGATGGTAATAGTGATACCAATGGGTCCTTCCTTCTGAAGCTCTGTCATCTCTCAGGTCTCACTCTCATCATGGAATACCCCCTTTGGTATGCTCCTGTTCCTGGGCTTCGGGGAACTCGACTCAGCTGTGATGGTACAGTCTCCTCTGAGCTCTCTGACATGCCCCTGGTGTCACAGTCTCACTGCCTGAGGTGGAGTGTTGTTCTTGAGTCACTCAGTTGTGTCCGACTCTGCGACCCCTGGACTGCAGTGCGCCAGGCTTCCCTGTCCTTCACCATCTCCCAGAGTTTGCTCAAACTCATGTCCATTGAGTTGGTGATGCCATCCAACCATCTTGTCCTCTGTCGTTCCCTTCTTCTCCTGCCTTCGATCTTTCCCAGCCTGAGATGGATACTCAGGTGAAAGACAGAGAAACTCATGCAGTTTGTGGAGCCACTAGACTGGCTCTTGCTGGTCCCCTCCCTCAGGGCCTCGCCTTGTTCCCCTGACAGCTGCCCGTGAGACACCTCAGACTCTGCACGGAGCAGCTTAAGATGCTCTCCTCCCAGAGAAGTGCTATTTTCAGAGCAGGTTATGGAAGACCACACGGCACAAGGGCAGAACCAGGGCCCATGGGCAAAAGCTCTGAAAGGCAGACTGTCAGCGGCAGGGAGGACTTCCTATCGCAAAAACAGTGGAAGGGGCATCTTGGGAGGGTGGGTGTGTTCATGCAGAGGCTAGAGAATTACCTGACAGAGATACAGTAGGGAGTACACCTCTATGAAATACGAGACAGGTTAGATGAACACTATGCTTCACCTTCCAACTCTGAGAACATATGATTCCAGGAAAAACAAAAACTCCCACAGATTAGATTAAGCTCTGATGGTAAAACTCACAGCACGAGCTGCCAGGGGTTAGGGTTTCACCACGAAGCCTGGCCCTGCCTCTCCTCTCTGTAGCCTCAGAATTATACGACTGAGACCCCCAACGGTGACCTGAACCCACAAGTTCCCTTCCAAAGGCTGCAGAGGAAGAACTCCCAGGAGCTGTCCTTCACACTGGAGCCTGGGAATGTGCCTGGGCCACCCTTGTCTGGCGCCTGGGGAGCTTCTCTGGCCCCCGCCCCCTGGAGCTTGTGGACTGAAGACTTCCCAGGGGTGGCGGGAGCGGGGAGGAGAGTCCCCCAGGACCGGCCCTTGCCAGGCTGAGACTCTCTGGCCCCACCCACAAGGCTTCTGTCTGCTGGGGCTGAGGGCCTGCTCCCTGTGGGGTTTGGCTACCATGGAATCTGTCTCCAGTCACCAAGAGCCGCCTGGGATGCCGAATTCCACAGAAGTCTGGCCACTCTGGCGTCACTGCCAAAGCCTGGCCCGTGGCCAGCCCACAGCAGGAACCCGGGGCCAGACGAGCAGCAGCGTTTCCCTCAGGAAACTGGGTTGACTCAAGCAGGTAGGAATGCGAGGTCCAGGGCTCGCGCCCAGCTGCACAGAGAGGAGGAGGACAGATGGCCTTGCAGCAGCATGAGGAAAAGCCCCAAACAAGCCCGGGCTTACGGAATGACAAGAAGCTCAGAGGGTGTCAGCGGGCAACGCTGCGGCTGGAGGCGCATCAGTGTCCCAGCAAGGGGAGGCCACCGGCGCGCTGCCCTTTGGACGGATAAGCCTCATGACAGAGCAGTGATCACCAGGTCTGCGTGCCTCTTTTAAAGGTGGACACCAGCGCAATAAAATG